AAATCGTCCTTTAATGTATTTAATTCACTTTGAAATTTACTAATATTTTCCATTTGTACTTCATGCTGATGTTGTACTCTCTTTCCTTGTTCTTCTCACCACTGTTGCTGACTTTCCTGTGGTTGCTGCTGACATTCCCGCAACTGCTGGAGACTTCCTTCTTGTTTCTTTTCTGGTTCTTTTTGTTTCCTTTCTTGTTCCAGTTGCCACTGGTGCTGGTTTTCTTGCCACTGCTGCAGTCTCTCTTCTTGTTCATTTTCTCGTTCTTCTTGTTTCTTTTGCTGTTCTTGTATTGCTGCCATCAAATCTGCTAAGTTTTTTTTTCTTTTCCGTCCCACTCTCTGACACCAATTTGTTACGTATCTGCTTGATTGTTTGTTTCCGGTAGAAATTTTTCCAAGGTTCTTCAGCAATACAAGTCCTTTCTTGATTAAACCACAATCAGTACGTTTCTCGTCACTTTAAACTTAACAACTTTTATAATACACGCTATAAATCACAGCGATTCACAATCTCGATTACTTCGCTCTCGACGAGTGCAAAACACACACTTTATGACTCACTAGCTCGAAACTAACAGAATCATAAATTACATGGAACTCAAAGTAACTACTGCTCTCTCTTCATTCATATCACTGCTGGTTTTCTCTGCCAGGCTTATATACTAACGAAGAGGGCACCTCGAACACACTCGGATTTCCCCGATCATTCGAGAAACTCATCACGTACGCTATTAGCGCTAAACACGCCAGCAGCATCACGTGACTTCCGCTTTCGTAACAATATCAATTTGCAATGAAATCACTGACTGTACTAATTTTTAACAACACATGGCATTACTTGTAACGAAGTTGTAATAGGTTCATGTTATCTAAATATTTGATACACAGCAATGGAAATAATTATGGAAACACACACATACAGTAACAACGAGTAATGATAACACACGCCTGCCTGCGTTGGTTTATTCTCTTGAAATTTTTATATGTTCTACAGTAATTCTTGTACATTGAATTTGAAAATGATATCCATATTTCTCCATGACATACAGATTTTTCAACAAACGTCATATGTACTTTTACGTAAGTGAATCATTGTCATTGAAATCGGGTTACATTTTGTTATGCTTAAAATGTTGACAACCACTGGCTATAGATTTCTCTAGACCAATCGTGATGTGAGAGCCTTATCAATCATTTATGGACCCACGAGAAACACACCGGTTAACAGGCCGCATGACATGTCATTTCTGGATAGTATTTGTTTTTGCGTGCACTTTGACATTATTTGTTTCTATTCAATATTATTTATTCGTCGCTATGGCAACGAGAGGTTTTGTAAATGACCCAAACATGTTCTGTTATATTCGTGGTAAATTTGTTGTGAAGTTTGTTTGTAATTAAGCATAAAGCTACACAATGGGCTATCTGTGCTCTGCCCACCACGGGTATCGAAACCCGGATTCTAGCGTTGTAAGTCCGCAGAAATACCGCTGTGCCACTGGGGGCTTGTTGTAAAGAAACAAAGGCAAAACATTACAGAATTCGTCAAAAAAGCGTGTTACGTGTATTTTGGAATAAAACTTGGGAACCAAGACAATTCATGGGCTTCACACAAAATTTGTGTCCAAGAGTTGAGACAATAGACTAAAGGTAAGAAAATGTCTTTGCTTTTTGGAATTCCAGTAGTTTGGCGTAAGTCTATAAACCACAGGGATGACTGCTATTTTTGCTCATGTGACTTGCAATGCTACAACACTCGAAATAAAAAGGAAATTTCTTATCCAAACCCTTAATCTGCTATAAGATCTGTTGCTCATGGACCTGATGTACCTGTACCTACTCCACCGGAGACTCTTGATACAGTATCATCTGATTCTGAATGTGATGTCAGGCCCAGCATGGCCAGGTGATTAGGGAGCTTGACTCACAATCTGTGGGTTGCGGGTTAGAATCTCCATCCCACCAAACATGTTAGCCTTTTCAGCCATGGGGGCATTATAATGTGATGGTCAATCCCACTATTCGTTGGTAAAAGAGTAGCCCAAGAGTTGGTGGTGGGTGGTGATGACTAGCTCCCTTCCCTCTAGTTTTACAAAGCTATGGTTGTTACATTGACGTATTTACTGTCAGGTTATTAATTCACCACATTTTCTGTGTGTTTGGACCACACTCTTACTGGAATTTGAATAATTTCCTAATGATTCACGTGCCTGAGAAAATGGATCATCGATCAGCATCTGCCTGAACTTGTCAGCAGTCATAGTGCCATCAATTCTATGTAGATCACCAACACTACTGGCTGAGATGCAGCCCCATACTTCTACTGAACCTTCCCATCAAGCTTTCCTATGATAGTGTTCTTCTCTTAGCCAGTTTTATGTACCCTCTTCAGAGTCTTGTATATAGCCCCTACTGAAACAGTCTTGTCACAGTTTTGTGTATGGAGTATCCTTAACTAGACAAAACTTTGAATTCTAAACGCTTGTCTTGCACTATATTAATTCTTGGAACTGTGACTAGATTCACACTACCACTATTTGCATAGTATGACTGCCTCACTTTTTAGGTTTTATACGAATGTGGGATTTTCTGATTGGTTGGATGGCAGTCAATCACAAGGTAAACTATCAGTGGCACAGTTCACTTTCACACAATAAAAAGGTGGCATTCCCACACTATATATATATATTCTTATATCCCCTTTCCTTACCGTTTCTACAATGATTCCTAATACTTATTATCGACCTTTTAGTAGAAACAAGGATTTTTCTTCAATACATTTGATATTAAACAAAACATCTTCATCTAGACTATCATAATCATTTTAAATATCTATTGCCTTCATTATATAGAAAGTATGACATAACAAAATACAATGCAGACTTACCTAAAAGGTATGGCCATCCGGTGGATGTGCCCAAAGCAAATTGAACCCCAAATACTTGTGAGAGGAAAAGCCCTATTGTTAAAGCTAGTTGATTGAGAGTACCTAGAAATATATGTTTAAATTATACAAGTCTTGAAATTATCAAACACAATAACAAATGCTTTACATTTTCTTTTTTATAAAACAATATTAGCAGACTTTAGTCATTACACATCAACACATGATAAAAACACGTTAATATTTAGGTTAGTTTAAATACTTCTTAAAGCTACATTTACAGAGCACAGAAATATAGCAATTTGTTTGTTTCTCTTTGATAGATTGTTTAGGCAGAGTATTTATGATGAGTACACTAAAATGGGCGGCAACTGCCTGTTGTAGAAAAAACATATGTAAAGGACGACGTTTTGAAAGTTGTGTATTTCTACAACAGGCAGTTGCCGCCCGTTCCAGTGTACTTATCAATTTGTTTGTTTGTTGTTAAGCATAAATGGCACAATGAGCTACGAGAGCTTTACCACCCGCAGATATTGAGCATTGTTTTCTAGTATTATATGTCCTCTAGCTTATTTCTGAGCTACTAGGAATCAATCTATTATAACAATACTCAATACTAAAAATGCGCGCGCACTTCATTTTAAAGGCCTGGCATGCCCAGATGGTTAGGGCGCTCGACTCGCAATTGTGGGTCGCGGGTTCGAATCCCATCCCACCAGACATGCTCGCCCTTTCAACCGTGGGGGCGTTATAATGTGACGGTCACTCCCACTATTCGTTGGTAAAAGAATAGCCCAAGAGTTGACGGTGGGTGGTGATGACTAGCTGCCTTCCCTCTAGTCTTTCACTGCTAAATTAGGGACGGCTAGCGCAGATAGCCCTCGTGTAGTTTTGCGCGTACTTCGAAACAAATCAAAATTCATTTCAACAGATGTAAACATATTTTAGCAAACATTTTGTACAACATATTAAAAGCTTAAACTAAAGTTATTAAAAGGGAATAACGTTAGGTCGCAGGATAACACTATTTATTTATTTACTGATAGTATTAAGTATGGTGAAGTTTAGCCCTAACTAAACTAAAACAAATAACGTACACAAGTTACAGTATGAATTTCTCGCTATACCGAATATAAGCCATACTTAATAAAGGCTTAACTAATGTTAGGCCTAAGACAAGTGGACTTGTACGTACTATTTGGGGATTTCGGTGTCTGCGATTAGAATTATTTTGTTTTAGCCTAGAAATCCTTTGTTTAAAGATGTAACGTTACAATAAATATACTAATCTGACCGCAAAATGTTTTTTGGGTCTCTGCTAATTAATACTAATATTAATAAAACAAATACTTATGTCAAACAAAATAAAAATACTAAAAAAAACAAAAATACAAAATTAATGTGATACTGTCCGTAAACCATGTGGCTCATTAAGATCAACATTTTATCCAACTCGTTAAACTAAATTATATATAAGTGAATGCACAAAGTGTTCATTAAATAGTGAGCATATACATATATTTTCTATTTATTGTTATTCCTTACTATCTTGAAAGTTGAATGTGTCATTGATCATTAGCTTAGTATTTTATTTTTAGTAACATTTGGCAAAAACAAAATTCAAGCAAACTGAATATACAATTACAGGAGACTTTATAGCATGTATTATATATCCCATAGAACTATCAGCTTGATCATTCACACCTCAAAGTATGGTTAAAAGTAATCCTAAATAGCTTTAAACACAAGGTTGAGAATGAGCTGTCAGAAGATCGAAATGACATTAGACGTTGTCAGGACACGCGAGAGAGCACATTCAACCTTAGCATGTTAGGTGAAAGAGCCATAGAAATTAGAAATACAAAGAAATATTTATATATGCTTCATAGACTTTCAAAAAGCTTTTGACAGGGTTAACCACGAGAAGTTAATAGATACCTTGCAGCACATTGGGGTAGATCAAGCAGATATCAGAAAATTCTGAAGAATTTATACCGGAGTTAAGAAGCAGTAGTTCGAATTGGCAGATAACTAAGTAGTTGGTTTACAGTTAAGAAATGCTTACGTCAAGGGTATGTCCTGTCATCTACATTAATTATCTGTATGCAGAGTGGTAGATGAAAGAGATAATTACTGATACAGAATGGAACAAAATTAGTGGAAATAGAATTTGTAATGATAGGTATGCTGATGGTACAGCATTTATGGATAAAGCTGATAAAAGATAAAACGGTTACTTACCAAGCTTGTTAATAAATGTAATTTAGGGAAATACTTTGGACTAAGAATAAATGTTAACAAAACTAAGCCAAAGCTAATGTCTGTTTGCTTTGAATTTCGCACAAAGCTACACGAGGGCTATCTAATTTAGCAGTGCAAGACTAGAGGGAAGGCAGCTAGTCATCACCACCCACCTCCAACTCTGGAGCTACTCTTTTACCAACGAATAGTGGGATTGACCGTCACAGTATAATGTCCCCATGGCTGAAAGGGCGAGCATGTTTGGTGGAAGCTAATGTCAAAAAATTTGTTGAAACAAAATGATAGTTGAAATTATTCGAAATATAGTGTATAGATGTATGGTGAAGATCAACTACATAGAAATAAAAACTAACGAGAAAGCATTGGAACGTACAAAAACAAAGTGTCAACTGCTGGTCATATTTTGGAAACGGAGGATGTGCTAATTTGGGCATATAATGCGATCTGAGGGAAAGTTGGTAGAGATACTGATGGGTAAAGTTAAAGAAAAGAGAGCGAGAGGCGGTTCATTGACATTCGAAAATGAATTGGAGATTTGAAGCTTGAATTACGAAAGTTGGTGCAAGCAGCGAGGAAAAAAGAACAATGAAGAACCATAGACTTCGGTCCTCAGAACTGGGAGAATACCATGATTAATTGATACAAACTATATTAGTATGGAGGTGGTCACTACTCATTACTACGCTTGGGATCATCATTGTGTATATATTTTTCAGTAATGGCGTCATGCTAATATAATTCCCAGTGGTGTAGGAAGGAATTGCAAAATGGGAGTGCTTGGCTAGACATACAGATTTTACAATGAGAGATTGAAAGTACAAGGAGCTGCTAAAAGCAATCCCCACGCTGCTAAAGGCAGCTCAATCTTTGGCATGCCCCCGAAAATTTACATAATAATATAATTTACAGTTACTATATAAGTCAAATATGTAATTGTGGGGATGCTACAGCGCTCCCAGCACCCTCGGGTCCAACGCCTTTGATTCCATATATGCAATTCTAAATACTGGCACGTTGCATTATTTAATTATTCTATGTACTTCTAGAAAAAGTGCTGCTGTTAATAAAATTGTATTTTATAAAAAATTTATAATAATCCATAACTTCCATTCTACATTTTATTATATACATAAATGTATAACTGGAATTAACCAGCCATTACCTTTACTTAAGATGCCCTTGTTAGACTCAAAATTATTAATTTCATTTTACACATGACTTATCTGGTATTGTAGTATTTGAACTCATTTTAGTAGTTTCAAGTATTGCGTTAAATGTGTTATACTGGATCGATTTCTCACCATACATGTGCGAACGCCCCATGGTGGCGCTGTGTAGTCATTTTTTGAGATGTCAACTTAGGAAAATGTAAAAGTACAAGCTGTAATCAGAGTGATAAAAATTTATTTGGAATGAAAGCGGGACTACAACTGACTATATATATATATTTACATAAGGTGGCTTAAATTAGGCGTCTTGTAATATATTAAATCATAATGGTTTTGGGGGGTAAATCGAAATTTTGATCGCTGGCATCATAATGGTTTGGGGGTAAATCAAAATTTTGATCGCTGGCACCACGCATTAGACAATCAAAGAATCGTCTGTAGTAGGCGTTTAAAAATTTTGTATCTTTCTTATTTATCATGTACGTGTAGACCAAACAAATTTTGGTCATTTCAAGTTCTAATTATTCCAGAATCTCTGAAATTTCAAAATTTCTTGTTTACACGGTGATTTTAGAAATGTATGACCCGTTACTTTTATTTTACTTGATAATATGAACGTCATTATCTTTACACAAGGCCAGAGTAATTACAATTGTTATTACAGTTTGTTTTGAGAACAAATTATAAATGGTGGAGTACAAAGTTTGTAAGAACTGTAAGCAAAAGTTATCAATTTTTTTTTTTTAAAGAAAACACTTACCTAAGCCACCCCGTAATGTAAGTGGGGATATCTCCGAAAGATACATTGGCACTAGGGCAGTGTTCAGGCCTGAATGTCAAGAAAAAACAACACGTCAGTTAATGTAAACAAATGTAGTGTAAAGTTGGGCCATATTTAGACCGTAGAATACATACGTTGTTTTTATTCAACAAAATACATACTCTCATTTTTTCCCGCCAAGAAGTCAATTAATCACTTTCATCAAAAATATCGATTTACTCCAGATATGTTATCTGAAAACACTCCATAGAATGAAATAGCTATAAAATACTCCATAGAATGAAATAGCTATAAAATACTCCATAGAATGAAATAGCTATAAAATACTCCATGGAATGAAATAGCTATAAAATACTCCATAGAATGAAATAGCTATAAAATACTCCATAGAATGAAATAGCTATAGTTGTCGAAAACCATGGGCGCAACACTGACAAAGGTATTGTTCATATGAGAAATTATAGCATATTTTTTGAAATGTCCTTTGCAATTTTATGTGGTCAATTACATATGTAAACTTCAAGTGTTAGATAATTGGGTCGTTAAATAAGTTCTTAATTGTTTAATTATTTGAGTAGGCTGACGACTATGGCTTTAAGCTTTAGTATCACAATAAAAAGTTATGTTTTTACTGAACTTTATGATATGTAGTTGGATTTTCTCCATTTACATTAAAAGCAAAATAAAAACAAAAACAACACTTAAATATAGAACTTTCGAAAATCAAAACTGTTAGTACAATGGCAAGAGGAAATCAATAAAAACAGGGCTATCATCTAAAACCAAAGTATAAGATTTTTCCAAGTTTTACTTGAGAATCAAATTGATAAAATAAACAACATTATTCAATAGCATCTCCATCGAGATAAACAACATAATCATTACATTTCAGCTTAGCCTTAAAGACAAAAAATAACCATACAATATTTGGATATTGAATAATAGAGAGGAATTCAATTACTTGGAAAGTTACACCCACATTTTTCGAAAAAAAAAACAAAACAACAAAAACATACGGTTACTGGTCACACAATCTAACGGTAATAGAATAAAAAGACAATAGAATAATAGAATGTAATAGAATAAAAAGAATTACTGATTTTACTTACCACAATTAAATCCTATAAAAAGGCGTCCGAATATAAGCATCTCTATACTATGAGATAACTTACTGAATCCCATGAGAGCGCCTCCCAAAATTCCCATGATATTGTTGACAAGCAATCCTCCTTTTCTGTGGTAGGAAGGAAAAACAACAACAACAACAAAAAAAGAAATTAATATGAAAACAGTAACATTTTTTTCTCCCACTGACCTCAAACTGTTGGCTTGGATCATTAGAGAAAATTATTTCACTGTCCATATTCATTTTATGAATAAAATAAACAGGGGTTCTGAATATGAAGAAAAATATTAATATATCAATTCTTGTTTTATCATAGAATCGTTATCAAACTTTCCAAGATACATTGTTTTTGTGAGGAATGGTTTGTTGAAAACAGATCGGTTTAAAAATATTCTACGTTGAACGCAACACACTGTTAACAGAAATGTTGCCTTCCAATTTACTTTTCAAAGAAAAGGTTCTATTTTTTACTTTTATTTTTTAAAGAAGCTAAACAGACTTGTTTAGCACAATATTAGAAATCTTCACGATTCCTTATACGATATGCAAAACTAAAAACGTCAGTGTAGTATGTTACGGAAAATTAGTTTGTTTGAAATGTTCTTTTCCGTTAACCCACATGTTCAGACGATGAGAAGTTAACAAAAAGACTAGCACAATCTACATGTGAATATTGGGTGATGTATTTTTTACTCCCAAGAAAAAAAAAGGTTGATTTATCATTGCATAAAACGTAAAAACAAACAAAAAACCTGTCTCTCTTGGAATTTTCCTATACATACTCCTACTGCAGCAAGTTTCGTTTTCCAGTTCTAGGGACTGGAAGCACTGTATAGGAACTACCGAAGTGACACCACCTCGAGACCAGCCTTTTCCCTGTTCTCAACTAGAAGATTGGAAAGAAAGGGCTGCGTTCTGAATCAGTTTATTTTTATTTTCGGTCAGATACGATTCGAAGTTAAAGTTTTATTGCAGATTTAATACTAATTGAAGAATGCTTTTAAACTATCTTGTTCTAGGCAGTTTTTTCTTTTCTGACGTCAAAAAAGATTGGACATCACATTATCAGTAAAGTTTGCGACGAATAAGATATATTGGTGCAACAATTTTTTAGGTTTCCGCTATCAGGGCCACAGTGTCCATTATGCAGAATATGTATTTGTGTATAGTGTATGTGTAACAAAAATGAAACAAATATTTCAATTGATGGTCACTAAACTGTCTTTTGATAAAGTTCATGACCATTAAAGCATAATATCCTTGATCTTCCAAACCACCCCAGTCTCCCGTTGGAATAGCGGTAAGTCTACGGATTTACAACCCTACAATTAGGGGTTCTATTCCCCTCGGTGGACACAGCAGACAGCCTGATGTGGCTTTGCTAAAGATGGACACAGCAGACAGCCTGATGTGGCTTTGCTAAAGACATAGACTACCCTTGCATATTTTGTTTTAATTACTAGCGGCGTTCACGACTATGAAAATAAAAAAAAACAACAACATAAAAATGATTCAGTAACTTTATACAAACAATCCTTTGTTCAAGTCTTCATTTTGTCTCCCAAACTAGAGGTGCTGTATTTCTCTATGTACCTTCAATTACCTACACATCTTCAACCTTGTCAACATTTCATCAAAACGCAGCACAACCTATCCCCAGCTTTGGGATTAAGTGCTGTCTTTAAATTGTATGGATAATGTAAGTTTACAGAATTGCACCGAGTATACCGATACATAATAGATAGATATAAATATCTACACAAGCGCATGCCTCCATTATTCAAACACGATGTCAATAAATAGTTTGCAAAAGTTATGATATTCACACGTGTATACTCATTCTATCTTTCTTACGTTAAAAAACAAACAATCAAACTCTGTCATTAAGGTTATCGAAACCGGTTTTTAGCGTTATAAGCCCCTCAGACTTACCGTTGAGTCACTGGATGGCTGTTGTCTAACCAACAGTGAAACAGTAAGCAGAACATAATATATCACCATACAACTGTTCGTTTTTATCGTTATACAGAAGTTATACACAAACAAAATGATCTAAGCATGAGAGTTGTAAAAAAGCGTGTAGATAAACACACACAAACATGTAGCATGTAGATAAACATACAGAAAAATTTGTGGAGATAATAACTACGAGAATGATGAACACGCGTTAGTATAACACAATAAGAAACATTATTTAAGATCTGCTACCAAGTATCTATGCATTTTATGTCAGTATCTTGGTTATCAAGAAAACGGCAAAACACAAGTTTAAAGAATAAATACGAGAAACTGTAATGATGTTCAGTCATTTAATCGTCTAGAAAAAGCATAGCTCGTTTGATGAAGATTCAATTAAAAATGTAAACTTTCTTATGACTTTTCTAGATTATCATCTGGTTTTATTATCAAGTACAAGCAAAAGTATCCATCCCCAGTGACGGGAAAAATTTAAATTAATCTGGAAAAAGTACCCGTCCCCAGTGACGGGAAAAAGTTAAGTTAATCTTGCAAAAGTACATGTCTACAGTGAGGGGAACATTTAAGCTAATCTAGCAAAAGTACGTGTCTTCAGTGACGGGAAAATTTAAGCTAATCTAGCAAAAATACGTGTCTTAAGTGACAGGAAAAGTTTAAGTTAATCTGGCAAACGTACCCGTCCCCAGTGACGAGAAACATTTAAGTTAATCTAGCAATAATACCTGTCTCCAGTGAGGGAAAAGTTTAAGTTAATTTGGTAAAAGTACCTGTCTCTAGTGAGGGAAAAGTTTAAGTTAATCTGGTAAAAGTACTTATCTCTAGTGAGGGAAAAGTTTGGGTTAATCTAGGGAAGTACCCGTCCCCAGTGATGGAAAAATTAAGTTAATCTAGCAAAAGTACGTGTCTTCAGTGACGGGACAATTTAAGCTAATCTAGCAAAAATACGTGTCTTAAGTGACAGGAAAAGTTTAAGTTAATCCATCAAAAGTATTTGTCTCCAATGAGGGAAAAGCTTAAGTTACTCTGGAAAAAGTACCTGTCTCTATTGAGGGAAAAGTTTAAGTTAATCTGGTAAAAGTACCTGTCTCTAGTGATGGACAGTTTAAGTTAATCTAGGAAAAGTACCCGTCCCCAGTGACGGGAAAAATTTAATTAAATAGCAAAAGTACGTGTCTTCAGTGATGGGAAAATTTAAGCTAATCTAGCAAAAATACGTGTCTTAAGTGACAGGAAAAGTTTAAATTAATCTAGCAAAAGTACCTGTCTCCAGTGAGGGAAAAGTTTAAGTTAATCTAGCAAAGTACCCGTCCCCAGTGACGGGAGAAATTTAAGTTAATCTATCAATTTAAATTATTTCATGGACTTTACAGACGTTAATTGTGTTGCACTCTTGGTTTCACTCTTGTTGAGCTACTTATACCGCCCACCGCGAAGGATAGTTTTTGAGCACTTCAGCCATGCTAAGAGCCGCTCAACAATAACATATGATAAATCTATATTTTTATTCTTTAAGTTACGTCACATTTTGAAATGTGAATGATAGTGTGATTAATTCCTAACAGTTTAGTGTAGAATATCCTGCTTGCGAAATAAAATTTGGCATCAACATTATCCATGTTCGTTCTTACGTCATTACAAAGGTAAATGTTGAGCTTTGCCTTCGTAGCTTTTCAACGCAGATCGGTAAGCTGCCGCCGTAAATGGGAGACAGACGAACGCTCGGACAGACACCACGGTTCGCAATATATATATCAGTTTTTAGCATCTGGAGTTTTTTGTTTCTGATGTTATATTAACTCACGATGTTATGTTTGTAGCGGTCAGGATTACAGAGACGATTACTGTTCTCATACGAGTGAACAAACAAACAAATTTTCCCAAACAGATGTTCTGAACAAATTACGTTAACATCAGTATCAAATTACGGAAAAAAAATCGTTATTCTCTACTAATAACTTGGAGAAAGCGATGCATGATTCAAATAAAAACACGGGAAGGGAGAGTATACGGGTTGTAGAATGTATGGATATATAAATATCCATCCAGTTGGAGAATAGATGAACGATTTTACAGGTTAAAGGAGGATCTTTGAAACTTAGCTACATCTTTTAATCTATGTTCTAAAACTTCCTTAAACAAAAATCCCTGTTTGAATACAATTTTTTAAAAGTATACGTAGCTGTTTGCGAACATAACTTTAAAGTTTAAGCTTTTTAGATAATTGACAAATATTCTGTTTCAATACGTTTTATCTCTAGTAGTTGAAAATTTTTTACTCAATAAGTTCTATTATTTGAACTTTGTTTTTTAAATTTAGAAATAATGTCTTTCCAAAGCCTCCTTTCTCCCCACCTAGAGTGAGCAATATTCTTACAGTGCTCCGCTAGTATACTGCGCTACGGGCTTGTTAAAAAAAACAAACAAACAAAAACACTACGAGTGGAGTTATTTTTTTATAGGTTAAACGAAGGGTACAGTACACTGCAGGTGGATATAAAAAATCCAATACGAGTAACGCTATTGTTAGGGTTAAACAATGTAAACATTTTCACGTGTAATATAGGAGTTTCTTAGTTAGGTAATCTTACAAAATAAAATCCAAGGGTTTTAAAAAGATTCATCTCACCTCCCTAACCGATTGGCAATAGTACCTGCTGATATTCCTCCGATCATACCTCCTATTGCAAAAATGGACACTGTAACTGACCACAACAGGTTCCTGAAGTCCTCGGTGATGTATTTACCTGTTCGGTCTCTGTATACCTCCGAAATGAACTCTTCTATGATCTGAAATTCAAGTACTTTAATAAATAAATAATATATCTTTTTGTAATTAAGCACAAAGCTACACAATGTGTTGTCTGAGCTATACCCGTCGAGTTGTAGCGCTACCAACCCACAGACTTGCCCCTGAGCCATTGAAGAACAAATATAACATTAAATAGGCAGTCATAACTAAAGTATAGCAGGTGTTACCAAAGAATAAAATTTAAAACATTAGATAAACCTCACAAGCGAAACAGTTGAATTATCAAAGCTATTATTGCTTTTTGAACAGAACAGAATCCAAAGTATACATTTTAAATACTAGCATTTTGTTAAGAGACACGTGTTACTTAAAATAAAAAAATACAGCCAACATCTTTTTTAGAAGGCAAGAAAGACGTACAATGATTTCAGAAAACAATGGAAACTCTTGCTCAAAGAGAAATAACATGGTGTTGGAACATCATGGTCTCTTAAAACAACACTAATAATGGTTTCTAACGAAGGCATAAAGATGCTGGAAGTTTTCAAACCTTTCAGGGATTGAGCAGATAAGCGTTTTTTGGCTCCAAGAATATTTCGAAGGAACTAAGATATGATGAATGCAACGACAAGGACAGATAATAATAATAAACTTGCTCCCTTGTGCTAGAAAAACTAATTCTTTAGCATTGTGGGTAGATGCACCTTGAAGAACATCACCCACGTTATAAAAGGGTGAATCTGGCCTCCTTCTGTTGTCTTTTTATATGACTAGCTGTTATTGTGTTTTTCTATACCAAACAAACATGGCCACACTCAAAGTGAAACTGCATGCCCCCTTACAGTTGGAATCCAACACTCCGTTTATATGTTTCTCTGGGCTATGTTCATTTAAAAAACATCTTCTTCAATGTTTATTGATCTAACCGGATCATCTTTTGCACTATTTCCGAGTTATTTCTCAGCTTGTAGTCAATGTCTTTCTCGGAATAATAAACGATTCGTGTGTATAGTCACTCAACCATAACATTCCAGATGACTTAGGCTGACTCATATTTAGGTTGGTGGTGTCTTCCGATTAACTTCAGCGTGGTTCGATGTGTGGCAGTCTCGATTACATATGATGATTTTGTCTTTTGTGTTTTATAGTTTTGTCCAACGCAAATACACGTTGACATCATGTCAAAGATTGCTATTGTTGCTTTTTATACATAAACAATGTTTGTAATTTTGGTTGCAGATGTATTTGCCAAACGGATCTTTAGATGTTTGTTAGATCCTTACAGAAAGGAATGGTGTCTCAAGCTGAATGAATAGCTTAAACAGTTACGTTCTTCATAAAATTCAAGTACACTGCAATTGTGGTGTAGCACATTAGAGCAATAATTGCAATATTAAAGCTCATTATCTTTATTTATGCTGTGCTAATACTACCGAGGATGTCCTAGGTTCCTATTTTTCTTTTAAGTTGACTGCAATTATAGGAGATTTGGAGGATTATAGAAGATCAAGAGAGTTAGGCAAACAAGAAATTAAGAAATCACAAAAACTATGAGAAAAGGTTCGCCGAAAATGTAAAAAAATTAATAGTAAGGATTTCTTTAAATACACTAAAGGTAAGCAAAATATTAGAATGAGAATACGAGTTTTGAGGGATGATAAAGGAAGGCGAATATCTAATGATTAAGGAGTGGCTGGGTTAGTAAATTCTACGTTTTCTTCAGTTTTTATTAATGAATATTTAAGCACTATTCCACATCTTGATCATTTGATAAATGTAAACGAGATCAAACAATATGACTGCATTAATTCTGAGCTGGTTAAGAAAAAATTGGGAAGTTTAAAAGATGATAAGGCTCCTGGGCCAGATAATATTTCCCCAAGAGTTTTGAAGGAGGTTAAGGATTGGATATGTGAGCCGTTTGCCACTTTTTTCTGTAAGTCCTTGAATAGTGGGAAGGTACCAGAGATTGGAAATTGGCTGATATTACTCCTCTTTTCAAGGTAAGTGATAAATATTGTTCCAGTAATTATAGATTCATTAGTCTTACATCATCTGTGGGGAAAGTTTTGGAAAGTATTATAAAAGATGCTTTGCAAAGTCATTTAACAAAGTTTAGAATTTTATTGAATAGTCAACATGGTTTCACTAAGGAAAAAATCTTGCCTCACAAATCTTTCGAAATTCTTTGAATTGCTGGAAACCGTTCTGAGAAGGGCTACTGGGATGATACCTGGGATGGAAAGGTTTTCATACGATAATAGATTAAGATCTCTGAAACTGTTTTCTCTTGATGAAAGAATAATTCGAGGGGATCTGTTTCTTTGTTTTTGTAATTAAGCACAAAGTTACACAATGGGCTA